CCTGCAACCTCATCCACCCCCGGTTTGCAGTCCGTCAGTGTGGTTCTGCACTCCCGTAAGTCTTTTGAGTTCTGCGCTCCGTCCCTCTTCCTCCGGTTCCCGTCTCTCTGTGCTGTTGCTTTTTCCATTGCCGTATTCGTTCAGACCGAACCTAAATTCTCCAACATCGACTGACCACCACACCCCATTCTGTGTTGGACAGACCAAGTCCCCTACAGATCCTGTCTTCCCGTTCCCTCCGTCTAGATTCCTTGTCCCACCACCAAGATGCCGATGTCCAAGAAGGAGCTCCAAGAGCTTCGCATCCAACCGCGCATGTACAAGAAGCCTCCGTTCTCCGTAGAGGCTCCTGGATACGAGCCGGTTGAGGGCGAGACCATTCCTCGTCGACTGCCCGCCGCCAAGAATGGCCTCATCCTTCGCCCGGCTGAGGATGTCGGAACTACCTACGATGTCTTCCGCCGCTCCGCGCGTGTTTACGGCAATGCGAAGGCCGTCGGAACTCGTCACTTGGTCAAGACCCATGTCGAGAACAAGAAGGTCAAGAAGGTCGTCGACGGTGTCGAGAAGGAGGTCGACAAGCAGTGGACCTACTTTGAGATGAGTGGCTACAGCTACAAGAGCTTTGTCGAATACGAGAAGCTGGCCCTGGAGCTCGGCTGTGGATTGCGAAAGCTCGGTTTGGAGAAGCCCGACAAGATCCACCTTTACGGCGCAACTAGGTGAGTCTGCAGTTGAGCTTTACCGAAGTACATGAGGAATGCTGACGTTGCGTCTTTTTCTTTTTCCGCAGTGCACATTGGCTGGCCATGTCACACGGTTTGTGCCCAAACATCCACCTTGGCTCATTGGTCGGCAACTAATCGCAGTTCTTGTGAACAGGTTCCGCATCTCAGTCCCTGACCATTGTCACCGCATACGATACCCTGGGTGAGGAGGGATTGAAGCACTCTTTGGTCCAGACATCCAGTGCCGCCATCTTCTGCGATCCCGTTCTCATTCCCTCCGTGGCCAACGTCCTGAAGGATGTCAAGTCCATCAAGCACGTCATCTACAACACCGACCAGGAGCCCAAGAAGGAACACCTGGACCGTCTCAAGACCGAGTATGACTACCTGAACGTCATGAGTCTCGAGGAGCTGCGGAAGCTGGGTGAAGAGAACCCCGTGGATCCCGTCCCCCCGGCTCCTGAAGACCTTTGCTGTATCATGTACACCTCTGGTTCTACCGGCCCCCCGAAGGGTGTCTCTCTGACGCATGCGAACGTTATCGCCGCAAGTAAGTTGCTACTCAAGATGCCTTTGGTCAGTCGCCGCTAACGCCAACTTCCTACCTAGCTGCCGGTATCCACGAGATTGTCGGCCCTTACATCGGTCCCTCGGATGCTCTCCTCACCTACCTCCCCCAAGCGCACATTCTGGAATTCATGTTCGAGAACCTCTGTCTCTTCTGGGGTGGTACCATGGGTTACGGCAACCCTCGCACCTTGTCTGACGCTTCCATGCGCAACTGCAAGGGTGATATCCGCGAATTCAAGCCTACCATCCTGGTCGGTGTTCCGGCTGTGTGGGAGTCTGTGAAGAAGGGTGTGCTCAACAACCTGAACAAGAACAACTTCCTCATCAAGAGCATCTTCTGGGGTGCCATGTCTGCCAAGAACTTCCTCATGACTGCTGGATTCCCCGGCGCTGACACGGGAGCCTGGTTCCTGGACTCTGTGGCCTTCCGCAAGCTCAAGGAAGCTACTGGTGGCCGGCTACGGATCATGATGAACGGTGGTGGCCCGGTCTCCAAGGACACGCAAAAATTCCTGTCCATGGCCGTTGCCCCCATGATCAGCGGCTACGGTCTGACCGAAACCTCCGCCATGGGTGCCCTGAACGACCCGATGGCCTGGAACCCTGACGCGCTCGGTGAAATCCCCGCCTCTATCGAGGTCAAGCTGGTTGATTTCCCGGATGCCGGCTACTTTACGAAGAACACTCCCCCTCAGGGAGAAATCTACATTCGTGGAGGCAGTGTCAGCAGCAACTACTGGCAGAACGAGGAGGAGACCAAGGAGGCCTACACCGATGATGGATGGTTCAAGACTGGTGACATCGGCGAGTTCGACCACCTTGGCCATCTCAAGATCATCGACCGCAAGAAGAACCTCGTCAAGACCCTCAACGGTGAATACATTGCTCTGGAGAAGCTCGAGTCTATCTATCGCTCTTCCCCCGTGGTCGGCAACATCTGCGTCTACGCCGCCCAAGATCAGGACAAGCCCGTTGCTATCATTGTCCCTGTCGAAGCCACCCTGAAGAAGTTGGCCAACGACAACGGCATCGAGGGCGACTCTCTGGAGTCTCTCGTCCACAACGAGAAGCTGAAGTCTATTGTCCTCAAGCAGCTCCAGACCGCTGGTAAGGCCGGTGGTCTGAAGGGTATTGAGATCATCAACGGTGTCGTCCTCTCCGACGAGGAATGGACCCCTCAGAACGTAAGTTTTACATCTCTTCGCTTCCATTGAACGGTATACTAATTAATGACAGGGCTTCATGACTGCCGCTCAAAAGCTCCAGCGCAAGAAGATCCTCAACCGCTTCCAGGAGGACATTGACCGTGCCTACGGCAAGAAATAAAACACCACCGATTATAACTCAAGTCCGCGCACAGCGAACCCTCATCTCATCTCGATCAGCCGCATATCTTATGCCTGCTTAATTAGTATATCCTCTATATCCCTCAGCAACTGTTCTGTTCGGCTCGCATGATTTTTTGATCCTGCTAATTTCGTTTTCTCTTCGACTTCTGTTGTTCTATGATATACATGTATCATGTTCTCTCCTTTCTTCGTGTGTGTATGTCTCCGCTTAGCTAACTCTCGATGTGATACTCACTCATCCCGGTGTGTCTATGCCATATAAAATTCATCAATTTTCATTCAACTCTACCTCGTTCGTAAATTACCAGTAGCAGCTATATGAAGCAGACAAAAAATGTCCCAAATCGAGATGCAACGACTCAATAGATCGATAGATGGACATGTCCTAGCTTCATCCCCTATTCCTACTATCTCTTATCTCTACATCTACCCTTTTCCTTATCTCTCGACACTAACCTAGTCCCTGTAATAGTCTCCCTAAAACCATTAGTTACTAGTTTACCATCGAAAGTAAAAGTTAATAAGATAGATATCTACTGTACAGTCTAATTAAGTAGTAGTAGGATAACTCGTACCATACATACATAAGTAGTATCATCTAACTATCTCCTCTCCTAAACGGAATAATCCACAACCCACATTTGATATGAAGGTAGTATAAAGTCCCTATCTATCTATCTATATGCTATATAGTATTCCCTGCAGGTAGATATACTATTGAGAGTCCATATCATGGATACTAGTACTGGTGTTAATAGCCAAGTTTCAGTTTCACGTAAGATGATAGATAGTATAGGTAGATAACTAGCTAGCTAGATAGATAGATATCACAGAGCGAGTAATATTTAGTACTAAGTACTGGTAGACTACGTAGTATTACAGTAGATAGCTGCTGCAACGCATGAGTCAACTTGTTTACTATTGAATAGATGTTACTGGGTTATCATTATAGTATATGATATGATTCATGATCTACTATTTCAGTAATTTCATGACTAGGTAGGTAGTGTTATTTTGCTGAGGAAATTGCTATGTAGAATTGATCTAGAGGATCTACTTAAGTCTCAAGTATGATATACGTCTCTTTGCCGAAATCTTATTTTCTATCTTGAGTGATTTACATGCAGTGCATGCTTCTTGTGATGGGTAATATGTCAGATCAATCCTTCTTTCCTCTTTTCTTTTCTTTTGTTTTCTTTCTGATGTGTCTGAAAGAGGGGATGAAGATACAGGTCATTTCGTTAATTCGATGGTTCCTGGCGCTATATTGACTGGGACGTAATAGGAAGGCGGAATTGAACGCCATTTGACTAAACCGTATCGAGACTAGTTGGTATTCCAAGTTACTGCCGACGAGAGCTCGATTCGCAACCTTTCCGGACTGCAAAAGAACAATTGAGTGGAACTACCTTACTTACCTGGTGCCTGATTACATTCTTAACATCCGTTTCTCGTATATTTACCTTTTTTACTTACAAGGATGTCTTTCTGGAGGTGGGTGGTCTATTACAAATCTAATGAGGAAATAGCTTTACGCTGACTGTGAGATACGCACCACACAGCTCATATCGGTCCCTCTCGCCCAAAACGAGAGCTCTATTCGGAATCGGCGTGATGGCCTGGGCGTCGATTGGGCTTTGGGCTTCGCCGCAAGTGGAAAATGCTATGGGTATGGCGCCTACCAAGGAGGAACAGGAGGAGTTGGATCGGAAACTGGCTGTCCGGATATCGAGAGTCGAGAAAGATGTAAAGTAGGTGATGCAGATGGAGGCGGGTACTCTCGGCTACGGTAATGGGGTTTCGGGGGTCTGGGTTGAGACGTCAGCAGCCCAACATTTGGTTATCGCAGATGCAGGCCGCCTTGACCGGTTTCTTTGAAACACCAATGGGCGTCTTTCACATGTTCTTGCGAGTTGAAGCTGGGGACGGGAATAGGCCAGAATAAAAATAGGCAGAAGCAGATAGGCGGCATTTGAGTCAGAAGGAGAGTTAGGCGAGTTGCAGCAGGAGGCAGGAAATGAGGGAGGGGGAGCAGATGCTCAATTCTTGTCGTGTGTCTAGCCTTGTCAGAAGTTTGTTGGCGGGACACAACATCCGGAGGCCGTTTCGTGGAACAGAATTTTCATGCATGCAATGTCGGGAGAAGTCTTGAGACGACTAGCTGACGAGCCCATGAAGAACCCAGAGAGTTGCGCTGGCAGTTAGCCGATGCTTGTAGGGGTCGAAGCAAGCAATTGAGCGAGTAAAGGGCGAAAGAAGGAAATGAGACAATCTCCACGCAGCTCAGCGCAGGGTGATGTGACAGGGTATGATCTACGGAAAGAAAAAAGGTTTGTCTGGGACAGTATCTTCACCAGCTCGTAAAGGGGGTTGGCCATAAAAGACCAATGTTGACACGAAAAACAGCCTTGTCAGCACTCGACAGGGGGCTCGCATGGCTGGTAGACTTTCTCTTTCCAGGGATTACAATCGACACTGGGACCATGGTCTCAGGTTCCGAGCAGAATCCAACGGAGTGAGATCAGCGACCCAGGATCATTTGACGTACAGACGAACATGGGGTCCCTATTTGACTCAGATACTGCTCGGCTATTGCATGCAAGACTCCGAAGGCTCCAATCTGCGACATCAACTGCTCCAGGAAGATGGGTGGGGCGGGTTGCATCCCATCGACTCGCCCGTGGGAAGAGTAGGGGGCGCGCATGGAAGTGGCAGCGACTGGAGCCCTGGCCGTTGAAAAGGGCAAATCGACAAGTTTCATACATTGCGTTGGGCGCTGACGTTGGTGCGGTGAAACTGACGCAGATTGGATGCAACGGTTGCACAACGATCCGGAGAGTTGTCCAAAGGGACATTGCGGCGTTCTCGTTGGCCGCCCTCTACCAGACCGTACTTCTGTCGGTCAAAATTACCAGGCCTTCTGTGGCTTGCAAGGCTTGGGCCCCATCAGTTTTGCCCGGGTCATTCACCCCCTCCCTTGTACGACGTGCATGGTGGGCCATTCTAGGGAAGCCAATATTGCCTCAGCAATGCTTGGAGTATTTGGTAGCCATCGGGGACCCCGCCTGCGGGCATTACAGAGGTTGGAAACCACTGGAAAGGTGAAGCGTGTCCGGTTGGTGTGAGATGGTTTATCATTGCTTTGGTTCTGCATAGTCTATTGGGACGGACAATAATTCCACGCTGCCGAAATCTGTTGGGGGGTGGGGGCTGCTGCTTATGGCGCCTGGATGGTCGACGGAAGGAGACATGTTGTGTAGTATGGATTAAATGATTCTCGCGTTTCTTTTTCCCGATGAGATGGATGCAGATGCATCACTAGAGAGAGTGAGAGAGATAAGGACCGGCAGATTAGAATTTATCGGGTCCGAAAGTACGGCGATGGTGTAGTCCTTGCAGGCTGATATTCAGACCAAAGGGAAAACAAGTGTCGGGTCAGGATGACTCCGGAACGTGCCGAGAAGCCCAAGGGTTTGGAAGGAGTGGCTCAACCAGACAGACGCGCCCGTCAGCGCTTGGAGCGAGCGGTCATCCCGCATGGAGATGGAGTTGTACCCGAAGGCTTGGAGGCTGGATATCCTGGATAGTACCCAGTAGGCTAGCTACACTTGCCGCCGCGATGGGGAGCATCGATGGGAGGCGCTAAAAGGGGAGAGAGCATGCACGCTCACTAACGAGATTTAATCAGCGGCCTAATGTATGCCCGGTCGATCATGGAACGCATTGGTGGGATGATCGTCGCGTTAGTTGCATCTTCCTTTTGACGTCGCTCGAGTGCCGTCACCTGCAGCCATGGAAGGACCAGGGACTTCTGACGTGGGGGGCGACAATATGGGGCCCAAGGGAAAAAAGGCGGGAAGCAACAGAGAGACATGGATGAGATGAGATGTGATGTTGAGGTGGACACCGGCTGATGAGGTTCGCAGGAAGAGCCATGCTCAGGGGACAATTACTTACTCTACCCGGGGCACCTTGGCGTGCTGTATGTATAGATAGTAGTGGATGAACTGGCTACCCAAGCTAGCAAGTCAGGAGTGAGCTCACCTAATAGATCGATAGGTAGATAGTTAGTTTGTGACTAGGCAGTAGTGTGAGAAAGACAGAAAGACAGACAGACAGACAGACAAGCAGCCAGGATGGTGCCGGTGAGGCGGAAAAAGGATCTCCTTTCCCTTCCGGCATATCGACAACAAAGGAAAAGCCGCGGGAAAAAGGAGAAGGAGTGATTGGCCCTATCTTCTTTCCCTTTTCTCTCTCCATTGCTTCTAGCATGGGTGTCTGTTATTGCAGTCTATTATTCTTTGGTTCTTCATTCATTCATTCCTGCTGAGTCTGGCAGCGTAAGTAGGTGGGAGGAAGTACAGGAGGGGGAGTAATGTGAGTTTCGGGAGTAAGTAGTATGTATGGAGCAACCAGCAACCAGCAACCAGCAAGTGGAAGTAGAAGTAAGTAAGTGTGTGTTGGTTGATTTGGTTTCGGGCAAGCGCGTCTGTACGGTAAGTTGGTAGTACGTATCAGTAGTTACCGAGAGTAACTCCACCCCCAGGAAATCTTTCCCCGTAAACTGAAAAACTAAAAAAAAAACTAAACTAAAAACTAAAACTAACCGTAAACTAAACGATCGATTCCCATCCATCGATCTTCCGTCACAACAATCATCCACCCACTAACTACTACTAGTAACGTAACTTACTTACTACCACAAACTAGTAGTAGTGTATGTACCTATTAGGCATGTCTGCCACCAAATTACTTACTGGGAATTAACTCCCACCCTCCTCCTCAATGGCTGTCGGTGACCGACCGCCAAACTCGGCAACAACAAATGAAAGGATGGGGCTTCGGTCCCTTCGTCGATCTTCCCTCGTCATCTGGCCTGAGATCCGGGCGGCTCGGGGTCGTTAATGGCTTGTTCTCTCTGTCCCGCACTCTCCCTCTCACACACCTCCCTTAACCACCACCACCACCACCACCAATTCCCTCCTCACGCAGCTTCCCCCCCCACCCTCTCCCCTCCCTGATCCTCTCCCTGACCTCTATTCAAATAGGTAAATACATGTCCTTGAGTTTACCGCGGGATTTGCCACGGCTGTGACCTAGAAGCATGATGATGATCATCTACTAATCTTGGTACTATCGATCATCTATCAATTACGGCATACTGCATAACTAGAAGTCTCGGATCTCAATCCGTTGTCCCTTACCCGGCTCCCCTCCCTCTCTCTCACACACTCTCTCTTCCCCCCTCTTTCATTGATTCATTGTCAATTCATGTTATCTGTACGTTCAATTCCTATTTAGGAATAATATGAGAGATCCGCTTCGTTGGGTTTCTTCGTACCCTTCCATATTGCTTTTTCCGTGCATGGGGTTCTGGTTCTGGTTTCAAGACACACCCCCTCTCCGCATGCAGCGAACAGGGTTAGTTAGTTGAGATTGGATTGACTTGACAGCGGCATACCTGGCTGGGCCAAGTAGGGCAGCATATCGGAGAAAATTCTACCCCGGCAGTAACCAATTATTACCCCCTCCCGGCGAACTATAATCCTTCTCCCTGGCAGGCTGGGTCTCGCATGCGAATTATTACTATCTTCGTTCGCCGGTTTCTCGAATGGTCCCGAAATTCTCCACTATGCGAGAGACACTCGGTTTTAGCCTTCCTGTTGGTTCGTAATTCTAAAACGAAGTTTCTTTAGTAGTTTGTTTTAGCATCAGAATATTAATAAGTCCAAAATCATAGTAAATAGTATTTATGTTTTCTTTTTGGCCTTTCTGGAAAAGGAAAATTCAAGTCTCGTCTACATGTAGAAACTCAGATGTTTTGGGCCCCGTCTGTTGTAAACAGGGAATGGAAGTAATGCATCATCCCTTTGGTCCTTCCGGAGGCAGCATCAATAGGGGGTTGCGAATGGGAGGGGAGGAGAGAGAAGGAAATTGACAGGCTGGAGACAAGAAAGAAAAAAATAAGTGGGGCGAAGGAAAAGCAAAGAGAATGAAACAAGCCCCGGTGCACAAGGATTCCAAAAGGGGTTGTCACCGTGGTAATGCAATTTCAACTTTCTTTCAACATGGGAGAGAGGGCAGGTCAGCTCAGCTTCGCAGTCTATAGGCACGCATAAGTCATCGGATGTCCGTCGAATGCAACCAACGCATTTCGGCAAACGTAGGGTGAGGCGCTCGGGACAGAAGAACTTCATCTGGGGCAAGTCTTTTCTGCTTCACGAACAGGTAATATGAGAAACTGGAAGGAAAGCTTTCCAAAAGCGTCTGGATCACAAAGAGTGAGAATAGGAGGAAAGGAAGTAAGAAAAGATATAAGAAAAAAAATAAGTAGGGAAATAAAGAGATGACAAAATGATAATAGAAACTAGAGAATGTAAACATAAGCAAGAAAAGGAAAAGACAACGACGGACACACACACACACAACACAAGAGATGTGCATGAAAGGCTCGCAAGGGTTGAGATGGAAAGGGAAATTTCAGAGACCTGCTAAGCGCACAGACTTTGGGAGTTGGTAAATCGACCATAAGAGCTCCCATCAGCGGTGCGAGTCGAATAGACGGGGTCAAAGCCACTACTACTAGAGTGCTGGTACAGGTGAGAAGCTAGCCGAGGGGGTTGTTTCAGGTAATGCGGAGGTTCATGCTGATCATTATTCGTCACCATAGAGACCATCGACTCAAATGGCTGGGGAAATGCATGGCCGGTCTCTTCGTTGGTTTTGGATACGGATTCGTACTCGAATGAGGGATGTGGATGGCGGTAATGGCTTGCCGGCTTTCGGTTGTTCATAACGCTATAGTTAGAGTCCTGATAGGTATCCATGCTGGACGAGCTTTTCATCGAGTCCATCGGATCCATGGTGTTATCATTCATGAGTCCAATATCAAACGCCGATGACGAGGATGACGATATGTGTGGACTGTCGCTTAGCGGTGACTGGTCTGGCGCGGTCATTTGATGGTAATCTGTTCGACCGTAATGTGGCCCACCGCGCTGAGAAGAGTCGTACGGCATGAGGGCCAAGTGAGACCGTGCACCTGCTCCTAATCCTGGGGGTAGGACAGCCCCTCCACTTCCATCGCCGGAGCCACCGCTCCCTCCATCGGGGCCCATGCTGGTCGAACTATCGCGGCGGCCGTCTTTGTAATGGCCCGGGGAGCGACCCCGGACTACCATTGGATGCGAAAGTCGCCTGGCAATTCTGACCCATTGGGTATCGGTACCTGGAACCGAACTGGCGACCTCAGCATAGAGCTCAACGACTAGGTTATAGTACTGCTGCTGGGCTCGCCGCTTTCCGTTGTTCGCCGTTGCCTTCTGGAACTGAATTCGCTCAAACGTGTGCTGGGTTGGCGGCTGTGAAGGCTGGCTCGCTCCTGGGTAACCACCGAAATCCAGCGATAATCCAGCCGACTGTGAGGCCAACGAAAACCCATGCTGGCTGCTGTTTGGTGATGCTCCATGGCCTAGAACTAAGGGCGTAGGTTGAGAGGGTTGCAATATGACCTTTCCCGGTTTTCTTTCCGATTGCTTGTCCCGTTTCGGGGTGTGTTGGACCAATTCCCGAACTTCCCCGACTTGTTGGTTCACTACGGCGGAAATTGACATGGCAAATCTTGTAATGCGTTCTGGCCCATGCTCCGACAATTTCACGTATAGTGGAGCGTTTGACCACGGCTGCAACGTAAACGAACACGAGACTGAGAAATAATTGCGTCTATAGCACGTCCACTTGTCATCGACCTGGAAGAAACCCTTGTGTATCTTGGCTTGTATCTCAGGAGTGATGGTTTGAGCTCCGGAGACGACGGGTTGAATCACCATAGTTTCGCCGAACGGAGGAGCATCGGCAACTGGCTGGGGCAAACGTTGCTGGACGGCGTCCATCAACATAGTCCCCGACCCAATATACACACTCTGAGGTCGATCCATAGTGCCCTCGATGACACCTCGAGGGGTTGTTCCAAAGGGTGTGATCCTATTGATTTCCCCAAGACCTGTCAAAGGTCCTTGGAACGGTCCTCGATGGAGTGTGTATGCTCCCGGATACCCATCATTTCGCCCCATAATGGAGGTACTTCCAGAGACGGTTGTCCCCTGCGATTGCAGACTGGGTGACATGTTGGCGGGCGGCTGACTGTACAGGTCCCAAAGTTTTCTTATCAATCGGTGCATGTCAACAAAGAACCAAAGATTGAGGCACACTTACAGTGGGGGCACCCGATGGGATCTGTAATCCGACATTCTATCG